CTCTCCTGCTCTCTCTTTCTCTTGCTCTCTCTCTCTCTTGCTCTCTCGCTCTCTTGCTCTCTCTCGTCCCCATTTTCCCTTCTAACCTCTCCCCTCTCCTACTCTTAAAAAAAAAAAAAAAAAAAAAAAAAAAAAAAAAAAAAAAAAAAAAAAAAAAAAAAAAAAAAAAAAAAAAATGGTGGGGACTCGCAGGACCCAAGGATCAGATGAGGAATGGTTCGGGTAGGGAGGAGTGGATGGAGGAGCAGTGGAAAAGGAGGGGAACAAGAGTGGGAGAGAAAATTAGGAGAGCTTTCTGAAAAAATGGAGAAAGAGCTCTCTGTGAAATTGGAAAGGTGGTTGGAGAAGGAGACAAAGAATTGGGAGGCACAAGTCGAAACTGCAGTAGCCAAGATAAGGGTCCTAGAAGTTGAGATAAATAGGCTGGAGCGAGTTACAGGGCAGTGACCAGAGAAGACACAGCATATGAAGCTGCGAGGCTGAACAGGAAGGAAGGAATAATGAATTATGCTAAGGCCACATCAATCTGCCAAGGAGGACCAAGGAGTGAAAGGGAAGATCAACTGGTTGCAGATGGAGAGGGTGATAGGTCGAATGCTGAGGCACAACAAGGCTATCAAGAGCCACTGGAAAAATCAAGGGAGAAACTGACCACACACAGGCAGGATCCAGAGCCACAGAGGGTGAGGCAATGCGAGGAAGAAAGGGCAAAATCAGTGTTTATCCATGGGCTTCAGGAGAGAGGAAAGGACACACACTGAAAGGAAGCAGGAAGAAAGGAAGGAGATTGAGAAAATCATAACAGAAATAGGTGAAGAGAGGGATGAGATTGTAAATTTTCAGAGAATAGGGGGGTACTCGAAGGTGAGAAACCGACCAATCAAGCTGATTCTCAGGACGGAAACAGTGCGGAACAGGATCCTCCAAGAGAAACCACGATTGAAATACTCGGAAGAGTACAAGAGGGTGTTCCTAGACAGAGACAGAACAAAATCAGAACGACAGCAGCTGAGGGAGAGGACAAAAAAGCGAAAGGAGCTAGGAAAAGAGACAAGGAGGGAACCAGCAGGGGTCAGTCAGAGCAGGACAGAACAGCAAGGGCAAGCACACACACAACTACTCTCAGAACCACACAACCTATCACACCATCCCAACACACCCTACAATCCATACCCACAGCCTCCACCCAACACCAAGCTATAGAACCCCACAGTATGCCACCAGGTCTCCCACCCTCACAGGCCCCCCAAAACCAAGTGTTGGAAAGGAAACTGAAGGGTATGGTACACAAACGCTGATGGAATAACAAATAAGTGGGAGGAGGGGGCAAGAAAGAGTCAAAAAAGCATCACCGGACATCATAGCTCTCAACAGAAACCAAGCTTACAGGTATGATAACAATGCCATCTTCCACGGGATACCAAATCCTGAGGAAAAACAAGGGAACAGGGGGGTGGGGAGTGGCGTTGCTGATCAAAAATCGCTGGAATTTTGATGAGCTGGAGAGAGAAGATAGCGGAGAAGAAAGTGATTACATAGTGGGAACACTTCACTCTGGAGGTCCCAAGGTGGTAATAGCAGTGATGTATAACCCACCACAGAACAGCAGGAGGCCAAGGCAAGAGTACGACGAGAGCAATAGAGCGATGGTTGACACACTGGCTAGAGTGGCCAGAAGAGCTCATGCATGCAGGGCAAAGCTCCTGATCATGGGTGACTTTAACCACAAGGAATAGATTGGGAGAACTTGGACCCACATGGGGGCCAAGATACTTGGAGGGCTAAGATGATGGAGGTGGTACTGGAGAACTTCATGTACCAACACGTAAGGGACACTACAAGAGAGAGAGGAGAGGATAAAACCAGCAAGGCTGGACTTAGTATTCACCTTCAGTAGTGCAGATATCGAGGACATCACATATGAAAGACCCCTTTGGGGGCCAGTGACCAGGGTGGTTGTAAGCTTCGAATACACAGTAAGCTACAAGTGGAGGGAGAAGCAGGAAGGCCAGGACGAATGAAGCCAAACTACAAGAAAGGGGACTACACAGGAATGAGGAACTACCTGAACGGGGTTCAGTGGGACAGAGAACTGGCAGGGAAACCAGTTAATGAGATGATGGAATATGTAGCAATAAAATGCAAGGAGGCTGAGGAGAGGTTTGTACCCAAGGGTAACAGGAGTAATGAAAAAGCCAGGATGACCCATGGTTTACCCAAAGGTGCAGGGAGGCAAAAACCAAGTGTGCTAGGGAATGGAAGAAATATAGAAGGCAAAGGACCCAGGAGAATAAGGAGAACAGTCGTAGAGCCAGAAATGAATATGCACAGATAAGAAGGGAGGCCCAAAGACAATATGAAAATGACATAGCAGCGAAAGCCAAATCTGACCCGAAACTGTTGTACAGCCACATCAGGAGGAAAACAACAGTCAAGGACCAGGTAATCAGGCTAAGGAAGGAAGGAGGAGAGACAACAGAAATGACCGGGAAGTATGTGAAGAACTCAACAAGAGATTCAAAGAAGTGTTCACAGAGGAGACAGAAGGGACTCCAGAAAGACGGAGAGGTGGGGCACACCACCAAGTGCTGGACACAGTGCACACAACCGAGGAAGAAGTGAAGAGGCTTCTGAGTGAGCTAGATACCTCAAAGGCAATGGGGCCAGATAACATCTCCCCATGGGTATTGAGAGAGGAGCAGAGGCGCTATGTGTACCCCTAAACAACAATATTCAATACATCTATCGAAACAGGGAGATTGCCTGAGGCATGGAAGACAGCAAATGTAGTCCCAATCTTTAAAAAAGGAGACAGACATGAAGCATTAAACTACAGACCAGTGTCACTGACATGTTATAGTATGCAAAATCATGGAGAAGATTATCAGGAGAAGAGTGGTGGAACACCTAGAAAGGAATGATCTCATCAACAGCAGCCAGCATGGTTTCAGGGACGGGAAATCCTGTGTCACAAACCTACTGGAGTTCTATGACATGGTGACAGCAGTAAGACAAGAGAGAGAGGGGTGGGTGGATTGCATTTTCTTGGACTGCAAGAAGGCGTTTTGACACAGTTCCACACAAGAGATTGTGCAAAAACTGGAGGACCAAGCAGGGATAACAGGGAAGGCACTACAATGGATCAGGGAATACTTGTCAGGAAGACAGCAGCGAGTCATGGTACGTGGCGAGGTGTCAAGTGGGCACCTGTGACCAGCGGGGTCCCGCAGGGGTCAGTCCTAGGACCAGTGCTGTTTCTGGTATTTGTGAACGACAGACGAAGGAATAGACTCTGAGGTGTCCCTGTTTGCAGATGACGTGAAGTTGATGAGAAGAATACACTCGATCGAAGACCAGGCAGAACTACAAAGGGATCTGGACAGGCTGCAGAACTGGTCCAGCAATTGGCTCCTGGAGTTCAATCCCACCAAGTGCAAAGTCATGAAGATTGGGGAAGGGCAAAGAAGGCCGCAGACGGAGTACAGTCTAGGGGGTCAGAGACTACAAACCTCACTCAAGGAAAAGATCTTGGGGTGAGTATAACACCAGGCACATCTCCTGAAGCGCACATCAACCAAAAACTGCTGCAGCATATGGGCGCCTAGCAAACCTCAGAACAGCATTCCGACATCTTAATAAGGAATCGTTCAGGACCCTGTACACCGTATACGTTAGGCCCATATTGGAGTATGCGGCACCAGTTTGGAACCCACACCTAGCCAAGCACGTAAAAAACTAGAGAAAGGCATAAGGTTTGCAACAAGACTAGTCCCAGAGCTAAGAGGTATGTCCTACAGGAGAGGTTAAGGGAAATCAACCTGACGACACTGGAGGACAGGAGAGATAGGGGGACATGATAACGACATACAAAATACTGAGAGGAATTGACAAGGTGGACAAAAACAGGATGTTCCAGAGATTGGACACAGTAACAAGGGGACACAGTTGGAAGCTAAAGACACAGATGAATCACAGGGATGTTAGGAAGTATTTCTTCAGCCACAGAGTAGTCAGTAAGTGGAATAGTTTGGGAAGCGATGTAGTGGAGGCAGGATCCATACATAGCTTTAAGCAGAGGTACGATAAAGCTCACGGCTCAGGGAGAGTGACCTAGTAGCGATCAGTGAAGAGGCGGGGCCAGGAGCTCGGACTCGACCCCCGCAACCTCAACTAGGTGAGTACAACTAGGTGAGTACACACATACACCTGCGGACAGTTGCGAGACAACACCAGGAGCTGCGACTCGACCCCCTCGCCACCAAACCGTTGAATACACGACAGCTACAAAGAATACTCTGAAAGAATATGATAGCAGAGATAAGGACAGATATCCAGACACTATCAGCAGGCAGAACAGGGAAGACAGGGAGAACAGGGAAGAACAGGGAAGACAGGGAGAACAGGGAAGAACAGGGAAGACAGGGAAGACAGGGAAGAACAGGGAAGACAGGAGAACAGGGAAGAACAGGGAAGACAGGGAGAACAGGGAAGAACAGGGAAGACAGGGAAGGGCAGGGAAGAACAGGGAAGACAGGAGAACAGGGAAGAACAGGGAAGAACAGGGAAGAACAGGGAAGAACTGGAAATTCTTCGCTGAAGCCTATACGAAAATTTACTCTAAAATATAAAACAAACACGACTGCACACCAATATATATATTTTTTAATTCTCGTGGGGGAAACGCCAAACCCGTAGGGGTCATGAATTTCCTGGGGAGAATAATTATGGTCAGGGGGTTGACTTGGGAGGGTTTAAAGCCTTTCTACTACACGAGGGTCATTTAAGTTTACACGTCACCCGTGCGCACCACCAGTCAATCATTCTTTAATACCTAAAATTGGGACTAAATTCACAGAGTGTTACATTGTGAGGATGTACACCCTCTCGGTGTATACATGGTGTGATGTGCGGGTGTAGACCTATCCTCCGTCTTCACTTACAGAGTCTCCAAGGAGCTCAGTCATCAGATTGAGCTGGGAGTTCGGGGAGTCCCACGGAGCTCATGGCCCACGGTAAAGAAACCTGAGGAGGTCTTGAAGTCGGGCGGTTGGGATCCACGCCCTTTGGGCGGCAAATGTTTCCCCCTTTTTGATCACGTTCTGTGAGTACAGCGTCGTTTCGCTCGTTGGGTCGAAACACACTCGTATCTGAGGCACGAGAGAAGACGCGCTGATGATGGTGATGCACCTTGATGACCCATGAGAGGATCTTGATTCAAAGATATGAATCTACTCCTCCCTGATGCCATATATATATAATTATATACATATATATATATATATATATATATATATATATATATATTATATATATTATATATATATATATATATATATGTGAGATTCCTTTCGAAGGCCCTTCTATCTTAATCCTATGATTATAATAATTATTATTGTTATTGTTGTTGCAAATTGGGGAAAAAGCTGAGCCGAAGAGCTACGAGAAAATTTTCTCCCCGCCAATAAAAAGGTTGATCAGTGGAATTATTGACAAGAAGACGTGGAAAAGTGTTGCAATCACTGGAAACGATAATAGGAAAAAAAGGTATGCCATCATGCCGACCCACCGTCGCCGGGCGGGGGCTTTGACCTCCACGGGAAAAAACTCCCGGTAAGCCTCCAGGCAGATACTAGGACATACCCCTGCTCCCCTAGCTCACACAGAGACCTGCTTACATAAAGGTAACTACTTGCCAGCTCGTAGAAGCTCTCCGGGCCGAGAATTCCGAGAATTTCGAAACCGATGATGTGGATCACGCCGATGTCTTCAGAGCCGCAGGATCCTGTGTTCCAACGAATGGTTGCGGCAGCCTCTGCAGTGCAGCCCCGGTCCTTCATCTCCCACGTCTGTGTGAGTGTTTTTTTATTCGTTAAAATGCAGGAAGATCACACAACGCTGTCATGCAATCAAACGCGTGAGGAAACAGTAACCCAGATCTGACGTCAGAAAGGCGGTGAATGTAGATGAAAGGTTCAGAGAACCGATAAGTTGATAATTAGACACATGTGCAACACTTGGGTACTTTAATGAGGAAACGTTTCGCCACACAGTGATTCCATCAACCATACAAAGAAGAACGGGGAAGAACAGGAGGAGTTTGAGGTAATTAGTCCCTCAGCCTTGAGTCGATGTGGTCAGTCCATCAATCTTGAAAAGATTTACCGTAGGCAGGAGAGGTGCAAGCAGTCGTAGGGTGTCACATTTGTCCAATGTGGGAAATAGGTCGTGCCTAAGGGTTAGGCAAGTGAAAATTCCCAAGTATTAAGATCCCAAGAAGTTTGCTGTGTCAGACAGGATTGTGGATTGATGGACTGACCACTCGACTCAAGGCTGAGACTCTGATTACCTCAAACTCCTTCTGTTCTTCACCATTCTCCTTTGTATTGGACTGATGAAAACCACTGTCTGGCGAAACGATTATTCAACAAATAACCCAAGTGTTGCACATGTATCTAATTCATCAAAGCCAGTGACGAAAGGATTAGTGGACCAAAAGGTTGGTGGACTAACGGATTGGTGGACCAAAAATTTGTGGACCGAAGAATGGTGGACCAACTGATCCGTTAAGAGGGGAAATTATCTGTTTTATTGGGTTTGAACTCTATCGACTACACGCGGGTTATTAAGGTTGCGTGTCACCAGTTACCGGTGTAGATGATGCGGTTAGCAGATAAGATAACACCAATTGTTATGTCTGACTGAGAGTTTAATAACTCTCGAGGTTATATACACTGGGAGATACACATCCCTCGGTGTATATAACCTTGTATGGAAGATTCGGACAAGATAGAATGGAATAGAATGAGAAATGGGGTAGACAGAAGAAGTATAAAATAGATAGAAGGATGACGAGACCAGCAACCAGGAGGCCTGGTCTGGGACCAGCCCACGGGGGCGGTGACCCCCGATAGCGGCTCCAGGTAGATTCCAGGTATGTATAGTGTATATATGAGGAAAGAGAGAGAGAGAGTAAAGCATCACAGCTTAAAAGTGAGTTTGATGATTGAACTTTTGTGCACCTGTGCATAAACGAACTTACCTTGTCGTCGATCCAGAGGTTGCGACCTCCATCACAGGTGGCCTCCACCGTCGTCACCGCCAGGCTGGTGATATTAGTCCCCGGGCAATCTAGTATCAGCTTACTGCCCGCCGTCACCCTGGGGAAAGCACAACCACCTGGGTGTCAGATATCAAATTTCTCAACCAAGCTATAGTCACCCCCCCCTCATCCATCCTTTTACTCTCATCCACCTCCTTATACCATATAACTGTGTTTGTGTGTGTGTGTACTCACCTAGTTGTACTCACCTAGTTGTGGTTGCAGGGGGTCGATTCATAGTTCCTGTCCCGCCTCTTCACTGGTCCCTACTAGGTCACTCTCCCTGAACCGTGAGCTTTATCATACCTCTGCTTAAAGCTATGTATGGATCCTGCCTCCACTACATCGCTTCCCAAACTATTCCACTTCCTGACTACTCTGTGGCTGAAGAAATACTTCCTAACATCCCTGTGATTCATCGTGTCTTCAGCTTCCAACTGTGTCCCCTTGTTAATGTGTCCCATCTCTGGAACATCCTGTCTTTGTCCACCTTGTCAATTCCTCTCGGTATTTTATATGTCGTTATCATGTGCCCCTATCTCTCCTGTCCTCCAGTGTCATCAGGTCGATTTCCCTTAAACCTCTCCTAGTAGGGCATACCTTTAGCTCTGGGACATAGTTTTGTTGCAAACCTTGCACATTCTCGTAGTTTCTTTATGTGCTTGGCTAGGTGTGGGTTCCAAACTGGTGCCGCATACTCCGTTATGGGCCTAACGTACACAGTGTACAGGGTCCTGAACAATTCCTATTAAGATGTCGGAATGCTGTCTGAGGTTTGCTAGGCGCCCATATGCTGCAGCAGTTATTTGGTTGATGTTCGCCTCAGGACATGTGCCTGGTGTTATACTCACTGCAAAATCTTTTTCTTTGAGTGAAGTTTGTAGTCTCTGCCCCACCTAGACTGTACTCCGTCTGCGGTCTTCTTTGCCCTTCCACGATCTTCATGACTTTGCACTTGGTGGGGCTGAACTCCAGGAGCCAATTGCTGGACCAGGTCTGCAGAATGTCCAGATCCCTTTGCCTGGTCTTCGTCCGAATGAATTCTCATCAACTTCACATCATCTGCAAACAGGGACACTTCGGAGTATATTCCTTCCGTCATGTCGTTCACAAATACCAAAACAGCACTGACCCCTGTGGGACCCCACTCGTCAGAGGTGCCCACTCTGACACCTCGCCACGTACCATGACTCGCTGCTGTCTTCCTGACAAGTATTCTCTGATCCATTGTAGTGCCTTCTCTGTTATCCCTGCCTGGTCCTCCAGTTTTTGCACTAATCTCTTGTGTGGAACTGTATCAAACGCCTTCTTGCAGTCCAAGAAAATGCAATCTACCCACCCCACTCTCTCTTGACTTACTGCTGTCACCCTGTCATTGAACTTCAGTAGATTTGTGACACAGGATTTCCCGTCCTTGAAACAATGTTGGCTGCTGATAATAAGATCAATCCTTTCTAGGTGCGTGTGTGTGTGTGTGTGTGTTGTGTGTGGTGTGTGTGTGTGTGTGTGTGTGGTGTGTGTGTTGTGTGGTGTGTGTGTGTGTGTTGTGTGTGTGTGTGTGTGCGTGTGTGTGTGTGTATGTGTGTCTGTGTGTCTGTGCGTCTGTGCGTCTGTGTGTGTCTGAGTGTGTAGTCACCTATTATGGTTGCAGGGTCGATCTCAGCGCCTGGCCCCACCTCTTCACTGATCACTACTACGTCCTCTCTCTCCCTGCTCCATGAACTTTATCATACCTCGTCTTAAAGCTATGTATGGTTTCCTGCCTCCACTACCTCACTTTGGAGACTATTCCACTTCCTGACAGCTGTGTACTGAAGAAAATACTTCCTAACATCCCTTTGAATCATCTGAGTCTTCAACTTCTAATTGTGACCCCTTGCTTATGTGTACCATCTCTGGAACATCCTGTCTCTGTCTACCTTATCTATTCCTCGCAATATTTTGTATGTCGTTTTCATGTTCTCCCCTAACCCTCCTGTCCTCCGGTGTCGTCAGGCCTATTTCCTTTAACCTTTCTTCATAGGGCATTCCCCTTATCTCTGGAACTAGCCTTTTGCCAAACCTTTGCACTGCCTCTAATTTCTTGACGTGCTTGACCATGTGTGGGTTCCAAACTAGTGATGCATACTCCAGTATGGGGCTGATGTACACAGTGTATAGTGTCTTAAACGATTCCTTACTGAGGTATCGGAACGCTAATCTCAGGTTTGCCAGGCGCCCATATGCTGCAGCAGTTATCTGGTTGATGTGAGCTTCCGAAGACATGCTCGGTATTATGCTCACCCCAAGATTTTTCTCCTTGAGCGAGGTTTGAAGTCTTTGGCCACCTAGTCTATACTCTGTCTGTTGTCTTCTTTGCCCTTCCCCGATCTTCATGACTTTGCATTTGGCGGGTTAAATTCGAGTAGCCAGTTTGTTGGACCACGTGTCCAGCCTGTCCAGGTCTCTTTGGAGTTCTGCCTGATCCTCATTTGATTTAATTCCTCTCATTAGCTTCACATCTTCTGCGAACAGGGACACTTCTGAGTCTAACCCTTCCATCAGGTTATTCACATATACCAGAAATAGCACTGGTCCTAGACCGACCCCGGTGGGACCCCGCTCGTCAAAGGTGCCCACTGTGATACCTCATCACGTACCATGACTCGTTGTTGCCTCCCTGTCAGGTATTCTCTGATCCATTGCAGCGCCGTTCCTTATACGCGCCTGATCCTCTAGCTTCTGCACCAATCCGTGTGAGGAACTGTGTCGAAGGCCTTCTGCAGTTCAAGAAGATGCAATCAACCCACCCCTCTCTCCGTGTCTGACTTCGGTTACTTTATCATTAAACTCCAGTAGGTTTGTGACACAGGATTTGCCTTCCATAAATCCGTGCTAGTTGGCGTTTATACTCTTGTTCCGTTCCAGTGCTCCACCACTCCCCTCCTGATAATCTTCTCCATGACTATGCATACTATACACGTCAATGATACTGGTCTATAATTTAGTGCCTCTTTTTCTGTCTCCTTTTTTAAATATGGGAACTACATTTGCCGTCTTCCATACTTCAGGTAGTTGCCCAGTTTCAAGGGATGTGTTGAAGATTGTGGTTAGTGGCACACACAACATTTCTGCTCCCTCTCTAAGGACCCACGGGTAGATGTTGTCTGGTCCCATTGCCTTTAAGGTATCAAGGTCCCCTTCGCAGCTTCTTCACCTCCTCCTCGGTTGTGTGTATGTCATCTAACACTTGTTGGTATATTCCTTGTTGGTGTCCCCCTCTGTTCTGTCCACCCAGAGTCCTTCCTGTCTCCACTGTAAATACTTCCTTAAATCTCTTGTTGAGCTCCTCACATACCTCTTGATCGCTTCTGATGAGTTCCCCACCTTCTTTCCTCAGCCTGATCACCTGGTCTTTGACTGTTGTCTTCCTCCTAATGTGGCTATACAGCAGTTTCGGGTCAGACTTGGCTTCCGATGCTATGTCGTTTTCGTACTGTCGCTGGGCCTCCCTCCTTATCTGTGCATACTCGTTTCTGGCTCTTCGACTAGTCTCTCTATTTTCCTGGGTCCTTTGCCTCCTGTACCTTTTCCATTCTCTGGTGCACTTAGTTTTTGCCTCCCTACACCTTCGGGTAAACCAAGGACTCGCTTTGGTCTTCCCATTATTTCTATTGCCCTTGGGAACAAACCTTTCCTCTGCTTCCCTACATTTTGTTGTTACGTATTCCATCATTTCATTTACTGACTTTCTTGCCAATTCTCTGTTCCACTGAACCTCCTGCAGGAAGTTCCTCATACCTGTGTAGTCCCCTTTTTATAGTTTGGCTTTTCCCATCCTACTCCCGTTGCCCTCTTCCTTGTAATTCTACTATGTATTCAAAACACAGAACCATGTGATCACTAGCTCCAAGGGCCTCTCATATGTGATGTCCTCAATGTCTGAACTGCTCAGGGGGAACATAAGGTCCAGTCTTGCTGGTTCATCATCCCCCTCTCTCTCTCTGGTATTGTCCTTAACATGTTGATGAATTAGGCTTTCCAGTACCATATCCATCATCTTGGCTCTCCATATTTTGGGACCTCCATGTGGCTCCAGGTTTTCCCAGTCGATCTCCCTGTGGGTGAAATCGCCCATAACCAGTAACTTTGCTCTGCTCGAGTGAGCTCTTCTTTCCACCTCAGCCAGGTGCCCACCATTGCTCTGTTGCTCTCTTCCTATTCCTCTCTTAGCCTCCTGCAGTTCTGTGGTGGATTATACATCACTGCAATGACTACCTTATGTTTCCTAGATTGAAGTGTACCTACTGTGTGTGTGTGTGTGTGTGTGTGTGTGTGTGTGTGTGTGTGTGTGTGTGTGTGTTGTGTGTGTGTGTGTGGTGTGGTGTGTGTGTGTGTGTGTGTGTGTGTGTGTGTGTGTGTTGGTAGGCCTCTAGGACTTACCTGACCATCCTGTAGTTATCCTCCAGAACCGGCCGGACTATCTCGAAGATTCATCGAAAATGATAGGAGGATTCTCTGAGAAGTCGACATCCCTATCCCAGGCGCATTCGTCAGCTGTAAAGGCAACCACAATACTGACATCACTTAACCCTCAGGATCTCAATATCAGGAGGAGAAGGAGAGCATTGCATGTTGGAATAATATTAGTAATAATGGTAGAATTACCGACGATATGTCACATTAGTTGCATCTGTGTTTATTTACCTAGAATAATAATATTTGCACGAGGAATCCCTGAACCCATAGAAGCCAAACAGCAGTATGAGAATGGGAAGTAAACAAGTTGAATCCAAAGGAGAGGGTAGTTTGAATTCCTTTTATGAAGATCTTCCCATCGTCCTGACCCCTCCTAGTGAAGGCCTCATCTGGAGATGTTCATTAAGCGTCTGGCTAAAAATTTCAGGGTGCGACAGGAACAGGTAAGACAGTCATAAGAACATAAGAACATAAGAAAGGAGGAAAAGTGCAACAGGCCTGTTGGCCCATACTAGGAAGGTCCTTCACAGAGATGTTTTGTCCAATACTGAGTTGCCCTTTTCTAATCAGGTAATTATTCCTTGGGTAACATTGATAATCATTCCTTGAGTAACATTGATAATCGTTCCTTGAGTAACACTGATAATCATTCCTTGGGTAATACTGATAATCATTCCTTGAGTAACACTGATAATCATTCCTTGGGTAATACTGATAATCATTCCTTGAGTAACACTGATAATCATTCCTTGGGTAACATTGATAAACATCCCTTAGGTAAAATTGACAATGGGTTGGGCGAATATTTTTGTTAGTGGGTTTGAATTTGAGAGGGACTTGCCAAGTATGGGCCAGTAGGCCTGCTGCAGTGTTCCTCCTTTCTTATGTTAATTGTTAGTCAAGTTTATAACCTATCGACTTCACGGCTTTCACGACCAGTAAAATGTACTTTAATACACAATGTGGGGAGAACGAACTAAATCCAGTGTATATACATTAAGAGACATGCACCTCTCAGTGTATATACACGGAGAGACATACATTGGAGACAGGAAGGCCTCTGGGTGAACAGAACAGAGGGGGACGCCAAAAGGAATATACCAACAAGTGTTGGATGACATACACACAACTAAGGAGGAGGTGAAGAAGCTGCTAAGGGATCTTGATACCTCAAAGGCAATGGGACTAGGCAGCATCTCCCCGTGGGTCCTTAGAGAGGGAGCAGAAATGCTGTGTGTGCCACTAACCACAATCTTCAACACATCCCTTGAAACTGGGCAACTACCTGAAGTATGGAAGACGGCAAATGTAGTACCCATATTTAAAAAAGAGACAGAAAAGAGGCACTAAACTATGGACCAGTGTCACTGACGTGTATAGTATGCAAAGTCATGGAGAAGATTATCAGGAGAGTGGTGGAGCACCTGGAGTGGAACAAGAGTATAAACTCCAACCAGCACGGATTTATGGTAAAGTAACAGAAGTAAGACACCAGAGAGTGGGGTGGGTTGATTGGATCTTCTTGGACTACAAGAAGGCCTTCGACACAGTTCCTCACAGGAGATTAGTGCAGAAGCTAGAGGATCAGGCGCATATAACAGGAAGGGCACTGCAATGGATCAGAGAATACCTGATAGGGAGGCAACAGCGAGTCATAGTACGTGATGAGGTATCACAGTGGGCACCTGTAATGAGCGGGGTCCCACAGGGGTCGGTCCTAGGACCAGTGCTATTTCTGGTATTTGTGAATGACATGATGGAAGGGCTAGAATCAGAAGTGTCCCTGTTCGCAGATGATGTGAAGTTAATGAGGAGAATTAAATCAGATGAGGATCAGGTAGGGCTTCAACGAGACCTGGACAGGCTGGACGCCTGGTCCAGCAACTGCCTTCTCGAATTTAACCCCATCAAATGCAAAGTCATGAAGATCAAAGAAGGGCAAAGAAGACCGCAGACGGAGTATAGGCTAGGTGGCCAAAGACTGCAAACCTTGCTCATGGAGAAAGATCTCGATGTGAATATAACACCGTATACATGCAGTATATAAGCCACGTCTACGGTCCTATGTTGTACATTCTACAAGATTGATGGACTGAACACATCGACTCCAGGCTGAGGGACTGATTACCTCATACTCCTCCTCTCCTTACGCCTTCCTCTTTGTATTGGACTGATGAAGCCACTGTGTGGCGAAACGTTTCCTGAATAAAGATTCCCATATGCTGCATAAGTGTCTCAATCTTCAACTTGTCGGTTTTTCAAACCATTCATGAAATATGAAGTTCAACGATGAGAAATTTCAATTACTCAGATATGGTAAACATGAGGAAATTAAATCTTCATCAGAGTACAAAACAAATTCTGGCCACAAAATAGAGCGAAACACCAACGTCAAAGACATGGGAGTGATTATGTCGGAGGATCTCACCTTCAAGGACCATAACATTGTATCAATCGCATCTGCTAGAAAAATGACAGGATGGATAATGAGAACCTTCAAAACTAGGGAGGCCAAGCCCATGATGACACTCTTCAGTCACTTGTTCTATCTAGGCTGGAATATTGCTGCACTCTAACAGCACCTTTCAAGGCAGGTGAAATTGCCGACCTAGAAAATGTACAGAGAACTTTCACGCGCGCATAACGAGATAAAACACCTCAATTACTGGGAGCGCTTGAGGTTTCTAAACCTGTATTCCCTGGAACGCAGGAGGGAGAGATACATGATTATATACACCTGGAAAATCCTAGAGGGACTAGTACCGAACTTGCACACGAAAATCACTCACTACGAAAGCAAAAGACTTGGCAGACGATGCACCATCCCCCCAATGAAAAGCAGGGGTGTCACTAGCACGTTAAGAGAAACCCTACAATAAGTTTCAGGGGCCCGAGACTGTTCAAATGCCTCCCACACACATAAGGGGGATTACCAACAGACCCCTGGCAGTCTTCAACTGGCACTGGCAAGCACCTAAAGTCAGTTTTCCCGATCAGCCGGGGTGTGGCTCGTACGTTGGTTTTCGTGCAGCCAGCAGCAACAGCCTGGTTGATCAGGCGCTGATCCACCAGGAGGCATGGTCACAGAAACCGGGGCCCCGGGGCGTTGACCCCGAAACTCTCTCCAGTAAACTCCAGGGAATTCCTCACACACACTACTACTACTACTACTACTACTACTACTACTACTACTACTACTACTGCTGCTGCTACTACTGTTGCTACTACTACTACTACTACTACTACTACTACTACTACTCTACTACTATACTA